TTTCTTGCAAGCTTGTTATCACAAGAAGGCTTTCCAACCACCAGTATTCATGGGTAAGCAGCGCTGCAAGCTCAAAATTTTTCAACTTACTGTTCAGCGCCCCAAAATTATAGAATTAAATTTACTCAACCATCATATCATTTTGGACCTCAAATGAGGACAATTAATACTGCAAAGGTTTGAGTTCTTGTAAAAGAAAAGAATACATTCACTTGAATGTTTCAGTGTCGTAGTTCTTATGTCTTATTCAGCCATGTGTTGTCAGCCAGATTCAGCCCCTTGCCAGAATTTGTATTAAACTTAAGGAATTAATTTCTAAGAATGCAAACAACTGAACAGTGTTTTCATTAATTTTCAGTGATCGTCTACAGCAAGAAAGAGAGGAGGCTTTGGCTGATTTCAAGAAAGGACGATGCCCAGTACTTATTGCTACCAATGTTGCAGCCCGTGGACTTGACATTGATAATGTTAAACATGTCATTAACTTTGATTTGCCATCAGAAATTGAAGAGTTTGTACACAGAATAGGAAGAACAGGGCGCATTGGACATAAGGGAAAAGCGACAAGTTTCTTCAACCGAGGCAAAGACGACAAGATTGCTAGAGCTCTGGTGAAAGTTCTCTCTGACGTAAGTACAATGTAAACTTGCCGCCGGTTTGCCATTACAACAACAATATTTAGAGCTTGCATGTGAAAATTTAGGGATTTTTGAACCACCTTTTTTCCTGTAAAATTGTCACTTACACGGAAACTCTTCTTGCATCAAGCTTCTCAGTTGAAAGTTCTTCAGCATGTTTTGACTGTCTTCAAAGGGTTTTTTCACGTGTCATTTTATTTACAGCTGTTCTGTCATTTATGTGATTGTTTTTATGATAGGCTTCCCAAGAAGTTCCAGAGTGGCTAGAAGAGATTGCAGAGAGTGCTGTTGGGACAAGTTATGGCCCAGCAGGAGGACGATTTGCCTCAAGGGATACTAGAAGACAGGTACTTGCTTGTAGTCCACTTATGTCCAGGTTTCCATGCAGGTGCTAAATTATGTTACTTGCGATTTTTCGCAGTTCTTTGTTGGGCCCCCTTCTACCTGCTCTAACACTTGAATTTTCCATTGTCAACAAAATCTGCGATTTCTCCAATTTTTCACAATTTTTGCAGCTGTGTGCAAACTTAGACATATCTCTGTAGTCTTGGTTAGTCTTCTAATATTATTACAAGGCTGTCTCGGGAGCCCAGTGCTCTGAGCCTGTAAAATCTGGGGTGCCCAACAGAGTGCAAAGAAAGTCATTTTTACAGCTTGCCATTCGGGCGAGCTGCAGCTAGCATTTACTAGCCCAAATGTCATTTCAACCAGCCCCAAAAACCTTTTCATGTCTAAGTGATTTCACAGTTCTTCTTTAATCTGAATTCCTCATAAAACTTCATTGAGAACAAAATTCACGAGTCCGATAGCAGTATCCATTAGCCCCCCCGCTATCAGACACAAATTTCTTTGCACCCTGCCAGCATAGGAGTTGTATGAAAAAAAACTAAGATTTTCTAGTAACCCGGAGCAATAGTCAGGCACCAGAGCTACAGCACAGCCCTGAAAAAACCTGTCAAAGGCATTGAATTCTTACAATTGCAGAAGTGCTGGAAAGAGTTTTTAGTCGGAGCGTTTTTTTTTTGTTGTTGTCTGGACATTTTAATACATGTGATGATCTGAATATTATATTCAAATATTTATGTTTATGTGAAGATAAATTATAACAAAGTTAAGTCTCTTCATAAAAAGGAAAGCTTAGAGAAAAATGGCGTACAGCATATCACCATAAAATGTGTTAGTTTAATTCATTGAAGTTGCCTTAAAGGTTGTGCTAAATTTGAATCAGATATGCAAGCTTAAAAAAGCAAATTCAGTTTAATTATTTTTGTCTGCAATTTGATGATTGGCTACTCTAAAATCATAGAATAGAAAAACTTGTCTAAAAAATGCTTTTGATGAAATGAAATAGAGTCTGGGATTAAATTTTAACCCCAGTTAGCACTAATTGGCCTTCAAGCACTAAGTGTGCTTAAAAATAAAATAAAGTTGGAACAGCTACAGCTGTACTCTGTACCTTGCCATGCAAGACTGCAGTTGTAGCTTTGAAGGCCATTTTTTGTGAGATTTTGCTCTGAAACTAAAAATTAACATTCTTAGAAGTGTTTTGCTGTACACATGAGTCTGTTCAATCTGAGTCTTGGTGTTAAATTTTATTTGTTAGTATGATGGTAAAGGAGGAGGTGGAGATCCTGGCTGGGGTGGTGATTGGAACAGTGAAGATGCTAACACCCAAGTGAATGGCACTGCTGCGTGGTCTTCAAACACAGGAGGCGAGGAAGAAGAATGGTGATTTATGATGGCATTTGGAGCACATTGTTTTAAATGGGGGCATCCACAATACTGTAGTTACAACAACTCCACACAATATTATCTCTCCGTTAAAGTTCAGATTAACATTCCCCATGGCTGTTAATAATTAATTGTTCACGTTGAAGTTGCCGATTCATGGAGGTTATACAAGTTCTAAAGATGTATTTGGATACATAATATAATTTATGTTTGCACCTTTGTTGACAAGAACAATGCTGCAAAGTTGGTCAATATTAAACTGCCTTGTTCTGTAGAAGACAAACTGTACCTGCCGGTGCTCTGTTGAGACTGCACAACCATGACATTCTGGATGCTGGAAGAGTTACATAATGCTGGAACAATATTATCCTTGCACCTTCATAACGTCATCTTGTCCTGAGAGTCAATGCTAACAATAGCAAGTGAACTAAAAGACAGCAGTGAGTGTGTTGTTCATTTACAGACAGATTGACGCCAGAAAGGAGTAGAAACACAATCTTCTAAACAATTATTCCAGACTTCCTGTCGATGTAGAAAGTTACATTGTATTTTTGCAAGGGGTCATGAACATCTACAAACATGGATTTCACAGTTAAAACATCGCAGTTGGACTCATAAATTCAAGAGAATTGTCCTACTTCTTGCTTTAACTAAACTGACTAAAGAGCAGATCTTATTGGCATCAAGACACCAGTCAGCTGCATTTGAGTACACCTACAACCTGTACGTGTAAATACATGATACTTAATTGTTTGGCCATCAAAAAATTAACAGTGGACTGTTTTTAGTCCTTGATGTCAGAACCAGCCTAGACCTGCCATCAAATCTTAAAAAGAATTGGCGGCAGTATAGCCTGTTGATGACATGAGCATGCAGCTGTATGGTTTTGTTCTTGTACTGCCAGCTTTATCTCGCTTTTTGTGAAAAACTTTTAAAGCATTTCTGGTCTATGTCATTGCTGGCCAGGCAATCATAACTGGGTTATATCTTGTGCAGTCATGGAATGGAAGGATGTCACTAATTTAGTGTGCAGTTTTTTTCCATTGGAAATTCACCCATTATGGTGGACTGACTGGCATTGAATGGCTAGAACAAGTGGACAGTAGTTGTTATAAGGCTTTAGTTTGTCTTATCATCTTTGTTCGGCATTGTCCATGCCAAAGAAATGGAAACATTGAACTCAAAAATCAATTTGACTAAACAAAGCCATTAGGACCGAATGCTCAGTGGCTGTTGTATATGGATTTTCACAGGTTGGTTTTCGCCCATTTCCAACAGGGGATGTGAGCCACGTCGCTGACAGGAAAGTCTGTTTTTTGTGTTGTTTAATGGTGCCATTTCTGGATTTCACATAAACTGTATGAACTACACCTTGAAAAAGATATGCTCTGCCCTGCTGCATACAACTGTGCAATTGGCTGATAATTACATCTCAAAAACTGAACCAGGAAAGCGAAAGTTTGGACCATTATTGAATTGTTACACATTTGACTCTGAAGTGAAATTAGATAAGTCTTCTTCACTTTGCTCCTTTAAAACAAAACTGAAGCAAGGAAGGCTGTGTTCTTTGTAAACATAAGTCAGTAGTCTTCGAAACAGCTTGGTTGTTTAGTATTGGAGAAAAATACTTCTGATTATAAGAACAAACTCTATCTTTGAAGAATTCAAATGGTGGAAAGCGTCTGAGGTTCAACAAAAAAGTTTTAGAGTACGTATTTTTTTAAAAGATTGAATTATTATTGTAAAGTAGTTGGGCCATTATATTAGAAGCTACAGTATTAAAGTTGTTGATTTAAAAGTGAAAGTACATTTCTGAGTTATTAAACATTTTTGTTAACTCTTTTTAACTGCTATGTGACCAACTTGCACTTTCCAAGAGGACATTACATGTAACTTGACCCTGCAATTTGAATTCCTGGGTGAGGAAGGGACAAAATGGAGAAAGTCTGATACATGTTCACCTCCATTAGATTAACTAAATACAAAACTCATTCACGTCCAATTGAATAGAATTTTATTACTCATTTATTTTACCAATAATAGCATCAAATGCTGCTTAAAGGGTGAAGTCATTTGTACAGCATTGTACATCTTGACAACATTAACTTGTGTCATTCTCCTGCCAAGTTTTAAAATTTCATTTGCAAGATCTTGGAGCTGTTGGTGTAATAGAAAAATTGAAAATAAAAAGGTGAACTAAAGAAGAAAAACTTTCAACAGACAGCTGTGATGATAAGAGGTGATCACTTTTAGCAAACTTGTTTCATTTTCCTGTGTCAATAAATCATAAAATGATCAACCACACCCTTTTGCAACGGGACAATGGCTACGGATTCACCTTTGGGTGACGATAGTAATTAGAAGCACTAAAAGGGAAACATGAAGATTGCTTTTCACAGCCTTCACTTCTTTTCGAATTCAGGTTTAATGAAGATAAAATATTAATCTTTCCATTTCTCCATGGTGGAACAAAATCAGGAGACTTGCATTTCCATTGAAACCTTCAACACTAACGCTCACTGATGGTGCATTACAAAGTCCTGCAATAGTGGGGAAACTGACTCTTGACACATAAGAATAAACCACTGTCCACAGGACAGGCATCTGGTACCAGCAAACATGAGCAGGACTTCATAAGTGAAAACTTTCTCCACATCCACATGTTCCTTTGATGTTTGGATTATTAAATACAAATTCACTTGACAGTTTACTCTCTGTATAGTCCATTTCTGTCCCCAGTAATGACAATTGTGCCTTTGAATCAATAAATATTTTCACCCCTGAAACAACAAAACGAGAAATAAAAAGAAAGGTAGAATCGGTAGATGACTTTTTTTATATTGGAAGTCTAAAAACATCCCAAATTTTTGGGCCAAGAGACCAAAATTTGGTGCTAAAAAATGTCCCTCCAATTGTTAACAGTGGTGTATGGGACTGCTAAATTCCAATGATTTATGACAATTTCACTCAATACCTCCATGGCAGGCACACGAACAAGGTGGGGCATTTGAGAAAATGGGATGTGCATCTTTAATGTTCTTGAACACCCAGTAATTCTCCCCTTCCTTTTTGCTTGTGGGCTTGAAAAATTTCTTTTAGTATTAGTCTGTTTTAAAGCCTGACCTACATCTGCTCCTTACACGCTTGATATAACCATTTTGATAATAGTTATATCAAGCTTGTAAGCAGCAGATGTAGCTCAGGCTTTAAAATAGATACAGCAAACATTTCGATAATGTTTGCAGACTTATTTCCAGGTGAATCATAGATATTTGGCAAAGCCACATCACACCAGGCTGTTGCACTGAGGAAGAGACCATGTCCCTGTTGGTATAATTAAATATTGTACTTGCACTTTTCTTCATTGCTGTTGCAGTTTGAACCCATCTTTGTGGTGTTTGTTGCCATGTTGCTCTTTAACCCTTTAAGTCCCAATATCCACATACAAATTCTCCAAACTTATCTCTATATGTTTCCTTCATGGATGGGTTGAGAGAATTTGATAAAAGATCAAGGCATTTTCTCTTAGATGATCAACTTATTAATTCTCATAACTTAATCTCTGGACAATCTATGGATATGGTTAGAAGAAAATTGATGTTGGTCACCATTGGGACTTAAAGGGTTTAAGGCCATGGCCCTGTCAGAACTGTACCCTACCAGGGTCTTCTAGGACAATACCCTAACTTACACACGCCGATGTTCTCTGTTTATCATACTGCGAAACAATCAACCTTAATACCAGCGACAAGGCTGTCATGTCAGTTTGATTTTGTGCCAATACACGTTTTAATTTAAACCAGCTCCTTTTACAGTTTCTTGACTTGTTGGAACCCCTAATATGAAAGGTTTGCACTAGAGAGACCCCATAACATTATCTTCTACCAATATGCACTACTTCACTAGGCTTGATCAACTCACCATCTTGATTGACTTCTTCATCAAACTTGCCCTTTTCCTTTGCATAATCTAAGGTATATTGCATTCCATTGCAACCTTTTTGTTTAACACCTATTTTCAAGGCAGTCTGGTGAAAACAAGAACATTTTGAGTATTTTGAGAGGTTGAAACTCATTTTGATTTAGAATTAAGAGCAAGTCTGACAATATATTATTGTATATTCCACTTGAAAGCAGAGGCTACTTTGTACTGGTGTGCACAAAATAGCCTCTGATGACAGCTGTCTCAGGCGTGCCTATTTTTCTGATGCGTTTCATGAGAAAAATGGCGTTTACAAAGGTGCATTTTTGGTCCAGCCAATGCTCGGTCCAATGTGCATCAACTTCTACTGACATAAACAGCTGTGGTGTAGAAAATTGTTTTTTGAATAATTTTTGTTTCAAGCAGTCAAAAACCATTATCATTATTATTATTATTATTGCAACATGTTGACCTAAAACAGGTTTTCATTCTTCTTGGGAAGGAAAACAAATAAATACAGCCACAACTATCTTATGTTGTTGTGACAAGTCACTGAAAAATTGTGACCTTTACATCCCTCAAAGAGTGTACATGCTGGGTCAACTTGATGCAATAGCAGATCAAGCTGATGCAATAACCAAACCAGTATAGAGTCAGTTGGAAATCAATTAGTTTTAATTTATTTGTCGACATTTCTGGATAGGAATGGATGATTGGTTGCAAAATCTACTTTTTTGCACACCAGTACAAACTGCAATAAAGTAGCCTCTGCTTTCAGAAAAACAAATGAGTCAAATGTTGCCCTTGAGGTCCCTGTAAATCCCCTTCTAAATCTAAATGTCTGATCTGCAAAGGGCAGTATAGCCCATCTTCAGCAGATAGAACAATAGTTGTTTATTTATTTCAGGACCAATAAATTCTTTGGACCATTGTGAGGAGGATACTTGAGAGGACCCCCTGGGGGAGGTAGACAGTGTATTTACTGGTAAAATAAGTGAAGGCTACTTATGAAAATGACCACTTACTTTTCCTGATTCTGTGTTTAGAAGTGTTTTAAGTTTCTCTACTGCTGTTGGGGTCTAAAATCAAAAACATTAAGCTTAAGTAAAAGCACCCACATAATAAAACAAGATACAATTTGCTGAGCTTTATAGACGTCTTTATAATAAACTTAAACTAGCTGTTGCTTAACCGGCGGCCACTTCGAAGCGATATCAGTCAGCTGCAAATACATTTAAAAATTTATCAATATGCGAGTAACAGTGGCAAATACTCTAAACAGAGAACCAGCATGTGACAGATCGTATCAAACAATAAATTCTACCGAATTTATGCAGATAGAAAAAATTCCGTTCGTGACAGACTCCACGAAACTGCGTAACTAAATTATCAACACAAAAACTTCTTTGTTCGATGATGTTTAAACCAACGAATTTACTTAATCCATTCCAATGAAAGCGATAGACTTACTAGAGTTATTGCAGCCTTTCTGGGGGCAAATTTTCTTGGTTTACTGACTGCTCGTATCGTTGCTCCCACAGCCGTCCTTGCAGCCATCTTTGATATTTCTTGCATAACACAACAGTCTGACGTCATAGGTTGAAATCCGCTTACAGTATGCACAGACGTCTCAGAAATCGAGCCACATCACAATATTGCTGTCACGCCTGGCTGTCACGTTTGTTAGTACGGGGAAGGCGGACCAAAGAAGTGAATATGAATATTTTTGCGGATAGGCACCTTGTTAGAAAATCCGGAATGATCGTTTACCCACAGGAAGTACTTCAAAACAAAGTTGTAGCGTTGTATTTCTCGGCGGGATGGTGTCCACCTTGCAAAGAGTTTACACCAATTTTGGGCGAATTCTACAATGAGCTGCAAGAAAACGAGCTTCCTTTCGAAATAGTGTTCGTTTCATCTGATAAAACAGCAACAGATATGGAAACGTATTTCAAGCAAAGTCACGGAGATTGGTTGGCTGTTCCTTTCGGCAGTGAAATTATCCAGGAGCTAAAAAATCGTTATCATGTCACGGCAATTCCGAAGTTGATTGTCGTGACAGACGATGGTGATGTCGTGACAGCTATGGGACGAAAGGAAGTGACGGACAGTGGCCCTAAATGCTTTACTCAGTGGGCACATGCTGTGTCTGTGGCACGGGGGGAGGTGGCTACCACTATAACCAGAGCAAGCGGTCGATTGACAGTCGGTAATGAATAAAGAATTAGTTTGTAGGTTGACTGGAGTGGAAATCATAGCATTTATGAGATGGGTGGTTTTTCACTCACCCTAATTATGTTTGTGATTATGGCATGCTAATGAGCTCTAAAAAGGGCAAAACATCATTGTCGGTACCTGCCCTCAAGTTTGCTCATGTGGCTTAGGCTTCCACTTTTTGTACTTTAAGGCTTTTAATGATGAACATAACCCATGGGCAAATTATTTGAAAAACAATCAGTTCAGTGCATATGGCTCTGTGCACTGTAACAAAGCTTAAACATGGTAAAAAGGTAAAGCAGACATATTTTACATTAATAACTTAAATGACAGTAACTCAACTGATCAATGGTGTGCTCATTTTATCACCCCGCCCTCCCCCCACCCCTTGCTCCCCTTTGTCCATCAATGCTCCATTTTAAGTTAAGGGTATTTAAAGCTAGTTAAAGCTACACAGAAAGGAGAGAAGTTGAAACAAGATTGCGACGTCACTGGGGATCAAACTTGGGACCTCATGCACTCAAGGTCGCACACTAACCTCTGCCATCCTTACTACTTTGTGGGAAAGATTCCTCTTGGAATTGATCATTCAGGGACCATGCATTTTGTTTGCGGTAGAGCTGTGAACTTATGTTTAACATACAGCTGTATTAGACATTAGGAAAGAGTGATGATTAGCCTCCGTGATTATATGATTATGTTCGGTGAAAAAAGTGGTGAGTTCAATAAAATCAGCAGTTTCATTTTATCATTTAATCCGAGTACCTCTTTCGATAGGTGAAGAAAGTTTGAGGATGCCTTATCAATCGGAGTATACTTTCTACTTTTTTTTAATTGCTTGTTTTTTGCAACAGAATATTTACACCCAAATTAAAAGAACAGGCTTCTTTAACCAGCTGTTTATAGAGTAAGACATTGCCCCCCAGGGACATTGCCTACAAAGGAACCAAAGTATAATCGATAAGTAACAGAAGCACGAAATCTCAACGTTTTTTGTTTGTGAATCAAACTTTTTAAAACTGCTTTAACTCTAGCTTTTGTCTACAAAATTAGCGGCCTGAATTTCTGACATAAAACTGTAAGTTCCTATCCTTGTTTTGAGCATTTTCAATTTGTTTAATTTGCCGAACTAGCCTGTCCGAAAATTCCTTAGTAACGCGGACATAGCGCAAAACGCAACGCCTGTGCGTGTGGTCACGTGAATTAGATGAAATTTCCGTGCCTGGAGAGAAATGGATTGAGTGCAGTGCTGTGATTTACTTCAGCCTTTGGCAGATCGCAAAGATGTGTGAAATCGATCGCGAAAAGGTAAGTTGTCCGATTGTTTGTTAAATGATGACACAATTAGGTGATAACTTAGACAGTTTTGCCTTGACGATTCTAATGTACTGCACCTCTGCTAGGCTCGAGCCACGAGGTCGTCCGTCCGACGGACGGTCCCATAGACACAGTCCAATCTTACGCTAGGCTTTTACTATGTCTTATTGAGAACCGAGTACCTTGCAAAATCGGAATTAGAATTCCAAAGCCGGCTAGAATGTTAGCAATTCATGCATGGTTGCTTTGCAAGCACTGTGTTATTGTTGTAAGCCCATGATTTACATACAACCTAACAGTTTCGAATTCTGCTTCGGTTGTGCCTGTGTTTAGAGCAAAATATCGCTGCCATCTTGCACAATATTGTGTGCACCGTGTTTGGAACATTAATTGCCGCACAACCCCTTATACAACGTATGAATTGCCCTCCATTATTTGCTCTCATGCGCCTAATACAGCGCGCGTGACTCAAAAATAAGTCTTGCTAGCCTACTAATTGTAGCCGCACACTCGCGGAATTGTAGTTCATCAGGTGAATAGGCTAGTTGCAGAGAATTCCAGACAATATTTTTTGCAATTTTTGCTGTTTTGTAATGTAAGACTCTATAACATGTCGTTGTGATGGTGTGCAAACCCAAAGCCCTCATTAATTGCAGGGTGCAGTCAGCCTTCAAACGCCCCAGCTAAGATATGGGCATTATGGGGACAGGCTGTCTGGAAGGGCTAACATTTACAATGTGCTGCCTCTTGTAAAAAGAAAAACAAAACAAAACAAAACAAAACAAACTAAAACTGGCATTTTTTGGTCTAACTTTATACATATCTTAAGTCACTACAAATCTATATTATGCATAATTAAAACTGAGAACTTTGTCTTTTCTACATTTTACTGTGTGCTATGTAATGTATATGACCCTTTGTTATCAGGGGGTTACGTTTATTGTATGTATAATAAATAATGTGTTTCATTTGTTTCAGTGGTCATTTAGCAGTCTGGGTGTCCTGTGTTTTCATCCCATATTTTCCAAGGTGGCATCAACCTGTGTTAATTTTCTTCCTTTTTTTAAGAAGCAAATAACAAGATTAGCAGAATTTAATAATGCTCCTGTTACTATAATGAGAAGACTGTTTGTCATTGCCTAAGGACTTGCTATTATATAAGAATCTGTTAATTTTCTAAGACTTGCCTGTCTTTTTTTAGATTGAAAGCATCTGTACGAAGTTAAGGGCCTCTCCAGATGAAGGTGGTCTTACAATCAAGGACAGATATTATCATCTAAAAAGATATCATGTTTGCTTTGTAGGTAGGTCTGTGATCAGGCCACTCAATACCATATTCAATACTGCAGCTTTCCACATTTCCTCCATTTAGCCCCATAGCTCTAATACTGGTAAGCCCCTTGATGTAATGCTCACTGCAAAGGAATTAGCCCCCAATGACCAAAATAGTCGACTGTTTTTAAAATTTCATACTGGACATCATATGTTGCTAGTTGGTATCAATAAGCAGAAACAGCCTCCCATGGCAAATAGATATAGAGGGAGTTTTGTAAACAGTACTCTTCTCATCTCTCACCTTAGAGTATTTATCATCAACTGAGCTAGTGTTAACCCTCGACTCACTCTTGGGAATTTCCTGGAAAAATGTGTTTTGAAGTTAGTTTAGCCGTTTTTCTGGTCACTGGCTTTACAGGTCGTACACTGTCTTCATGGCCTTCTCAACCAGTTGCATGATAATATTGACTTCCATAGTTAGGCATGTGTACAAAGCAAAATTTCTAGATAGGTTTGGGGTTTAAAACCAACACAGAAGTCTTGACTTTTTCTTTTCACTTTCTGTCCTCCCCTGTTCTTTCACTTTTTTAATTGTGCCATTTTCATGGGAATTATCAGGTCAACATTACATGGTTTTTTGCCTTTTTCTCTGGCCTCTTTGACTGAAACATGTTCACTCTGGTATGGTTTGAAAGATCTCTTCACCCTGCTCATGTTAGCTGAAAAGGTCATCCTTGACTGCTAAAACTAAAAGGGGTGTGAGATTCCGATTGGTGGTTACGGGTGGTTCAGGGGCATGAATGGGTTTAATGTTAGATACCCAACACACAGGCTTTGTATTTTCATAGGATCCGAAGCAATTGACTGGTTTCTTACCAATGGATTTGCAAGCTCAAGGGAAGAAGGTGTTCAGCTAGGACAGGTAATCAGTATAACCATCTTTTACATAGCGATACAGATTGTTCAACCATCCTGATCTTGTCAGGATTCCTAGTCCTGATTTTGCTTGAAAATCCCAAATCCTGACCAATATGTGATCAGGATAGGAAAAATCCCAATTTTGACATCAGTTCTGATATTTTCAAATAAATCCTTGTGATACTTATGTAACAAGAACACCTATAATANTTTGCCTTTTTCTCTGGCCTCTTTGACTGAAACATGTTCACTCTGGTATGGTTTGAAAGATCTCTTCACCCTGCTCATGTTAGCTGAAAAGGTCATCCTTGACTGCTAAAACTAAAAGGGGTGTGAGATTCCGATTGGTGGTTACGGGTGGTTCAGGGGCATGAATGGGTTTAATGTTAGATACCCAACACACAGGCTTTGTATTTTCATAGGATCCGAAGCAATTGACTGGTTTCTTACCAATGGATTTGCAAGCTCAAGGGAAGAAGGTGTTCAGCTAGGACAGGTAATCAGTATAACCATCTTTTACATAGCGATACAGATTGTTCAACCATCCTGATCTTGTCAGGATTCCTAGTCCTGATTTTGCTTGAAAATCCCAAATCCTGACCAATATGTGATCAGGATAGGAAAAATCCCAATTTTGACATCAGTTCTGATATTTTCAAATAAATCCTTGTGATACTTATGTAACAAGAACACCTATAATAAATTGGTTAACTGAAACAGATTTCCAAAAAACTTCAAAGTATAAATTGATTTAGGGAAAAAAAACTTCAAAGTATAAATTGATTTAGGGAACATTTTAGACAGAAATTATCCTCTCACTAGAACACTAGAAATATATGAGCAAAAAAAAACATACTTCAAAGAAACTTCAAAGCATAAATTGATTTAGGGAACATTTTAGACAGAAATTATCCTCTCACTAGAACACTAGAAATATATGAGCAAAAATTCAGAGCATCAAGATTTTGAACACTTCTGTTCTTGTTTGAACCAGCATGGCCAGGTGCGGATCCACACCGGTTTCCACCGTTTTACGGAAATCGGTCACACTTTTCATGTTAAATATATTTTTAAAAATAAAAACACTTTCCAAGTTGAAATCTGGCCAATATCCCATCTGAATGACTCGGAAATCCAGGAAAGGGGACTTAAAGAAGTAAAAATCCAAATAATTTCCTGGGGGAGCCAGCCACTGGACTCCGCTAAAAGCTTGCGCCTTCAATGCTCGTTTAGGAAATCGGTCAGTATTTATCATAGATCCACGCCTGATGGCTGCTGTGACATCAGCTGAAATCCAGCACTTTTTTAGTGCAGCAGATAGCTAGCCTTCTAACTGTCTCTCTTCTAAGATTTTCACTTATTTCTATGTTGTTATTTAGTCCTTTCTGGATGCAGATCTGGTTCACCATGTGGTTGATGAACACAATTTTGAGGACAGAGAGTTATACTACAGATTCCGTCAGGATGGTAATAATGGATCACACTGTATTAATTATCATGTCTCTTTGCTTCCACGCGTACATCACTATTCAATCCCTCTTGTCAACTCATCTTTCCTTTATGCCATAGATCCTCCTCATCTGTCACCAGCTGGTCCTTCTGTGGCTTCACTTAAGTCAGACTGCGGTGTTAAGTTTGGCCCAGCACAGAGGAAGGGATTGCTTAAGTGGCAGCAGGTGTTTATAGTCCTCAGACCTGAGGATGATA